TAAAAGGTTGAGAGGAAAGAACCCCATACTCCTACCCCTTGCCCTGTCTCTTATACACATCTAGATGTGTATAAGAGACAGATTATATATTGTAGAAAAACAAAAAAGAAGCTTCTTGTTGTCGTTTCCAGCCAGTGTGCCGCCGGCGCATTACAGAGGAGTATAGACTTAAAAGCTGCGCTGGTGGTCGGAAAGGGGCTGCGCCTCTTGCCGGCGTATAGTAGGAGAAGGATCTCTATTGGCGCCTCTTTTTCTCTTTGAACACGTGGCAGTGATGGGATGGGATACCGGCGCCGCGTCGGCCTCCTTGGAGATCAAGCGCAGTGAGCTTTACCGGCGGGAGTTGAGGGCGAGATCCCACTGGCAAAGAAAGATTGAATCAGGCACCTGAATCTGGATGGATTTTAACCAGAGATGCAGAAAAGCAGATGGAGATAGCGATATTCAGCACCTTTCCACAAACACGTCAAGATTCAGGCGTTTGGTCCAATCCTCTTTGCAAGTGGAATCTCACACTTAGCAGCAGCGGAGGCGAAGCAATCAAGGCGAGCAGCAACGGGGCAGAAGGGAGGGCAGCAAGGCGAGCGAAGGGGGCTCTCCACGTGGAGAGCGACTGGCGGATGACAAGAGCGACGCAAGGAGTGAAGCAGAAGAAGGGGGGGGGGGCGACGGCGCAAGGAGAGGGGGGGGGGGGGGGGGGCGACGGCGCAAACAGAGCGACGGGCGACGGATGACAGGCGGTTGACGCAAGGAGAGCGACGAGTGACGGAAGACAGGAGCGACGCAAGGTGTACGACCAGGTATTGATGAAGCAGAGCGCGGGGTAAGGACGGCAGGAGGGCGACGGACGATGGATGGGAGGACAGGAGCGACTCAAGGAGTGCGACGGGGGATTGATGAAGCAGAGGGGGGGGGGGGGGCAACGACCCAAGGAGAGCGACGGGCGACGGGAGCGACGCAAGGAAAGCGACCGGGGGATGGGGATTGATGAAGCAGAGCGGGGCGACGACGGAAGGAGAGCGATGGTGAATTGATGAAGCAGAGCGGGGTAACGGCGCAAGGAGAGCGACGGGCGACGGATGACAGGAGGGACTCAAGAAGAGCGACGAGGGGATTGATGTAACCGAGGTGGGGGGCAACGACCCAAGGAGAGCGACGGGCGACGGGAGCGACGCAAGGACATCGACGAGGGATTGATGAAGCAGAGCGGGGCAACGACACAAGGAGATCGACGGACCGACGGGCGACGGTAGCCACAGAAGGAGAGCGACGGGCGACGGATGACAGGGGCGACGCAAGGAGAGCGACGGGCGACGGAAGACGGGAGCGACGCAAGGAGATCGACGGGCGACGGAAGACGGGAGCGACGCGAGGAGAGCGACAGGTGATTGATGAAGCAGAGGGGGGCAACGACCCAAGAAGAGCGACGGGGACGACGGGCGACTGGAGCCACACAAGGAGAGCGACGGGGCGACGGGCGACTGGAGCCACACAAGGAGAGCGACGGGGTATTGATGAAGGAGAGGGGGGCAACGACGCAAGGAGAGCGACGGGCGACGGGAGCGACGCAAAGAGAGCGATGCAGGGGGGCAACGACGCAAGGTGAGCGGCGGGCGACGGGATCTCGAGGCAAGGAGAGTAATAGAAGCTAAACCAACCGTTCCGTTCCGTTCCGTTAAGTTAAGATGTCCCACAATCCTTGGGCGACGGGAACGACGCGCAAGGAGAGTAACGGGTGCCAAGTCCCAGCAGCAGCGTTGAGTTCCCTCAGCGCCTGAATCTGGACGTGTTTGACGAGATGTGTGGTTGAGTGAAACTCAGCGCGATTTTCTGCACATCTCCACAAACACGTCCAGATTCGGGCACTGAAGAAATTGAACGCTGCGAAGTGGGACTTGGCTCCGGGATGGAAAAGCCACCGCTCCGTTCCGTTCTCTTCCGTTCCGTTCCGTTCCGTTCCCTTCCGTTCCGTTCGTTAGATGTCGCACAGTACTCGCGCTGAATCCGTACAACCTCTTTTATTAGTAGTATTTTTTTTAATCCATATTACCATAACACAAAAAAAATTGTCCAATCAATCTAACATGATGCACGGGATTGACACGTGTCACTCATGTCGCGAATCTCCACCGTTCCGTTAGATGTCGCACAATACTCGCGCTGAAACCGTACAACCTCTTTTTTTTTTTTTTTTTTTAACCCATAACACAATTTGTCCAATCAATCTAACATGACGCCCGCGATTGACACGTGTCACTCATGTCGCGACTCTCCACTTGCTGACAACAACATGAAAGCTGACTCATCCACGGCGATATCATGGTGATATCCATAATCAATCATTGCCCTCCCTTTTCCCCCCGAATACAACGTACGGTGAGAATGTACGGTCGTTCTAGCTGTATTTGGCCTACCCCTCAGTCTAAATACACAGCTATAATGACCGTACGTTGTATTCGGGGGAAGAAGGTAGCGCCTCCAGCAGTCCTCAACCAAATTTGCAGCCACCTCATCACGCCACGTCAGCACGAAGACACGTCGACAATATTTTCCGTTCTTTTTTCCTTTCTTTCTTTATTTTATTTTTTTATTTTTATAGAAAGAGCCACGGCCTTGAGATATCATCCATCGCCTTAAAAAAAAAAT